GCAGAAACAGGAGAGGTCGTGATTGCATCCTACCATTCCACAACATTCCCTTTAGAGCCTCTGTGTGTTAAGAGGGTGAGACAAGGTGCTCTAGAAGTCCTGAGGAAGAGGAAAAAGCCACGGAGGGCAAGTGGGACTGACAGGCCCAGAGGGTGGCCAGTGCCACACTAGCAGAAACCAGACAGAAAAGGAGCGGGGGGGGGGAGGGTGCTGGGAAATGGCTCAGATGGCACAGGGCTGGCGGTATAATCATGGGGACGGGAGGGCTATCCTCAGCATCCATGTAAAGTTGAGTGCAGCTGCTACGTGTGTAATCCAGACATGGCTGCTAAGAATGTAACCCAGATGGGGGGAGGGTAGACAGGAAGATCCCTGGGGATCAAGAGTCAGCCAGCTTTGTTGAATCCGAGGGCTCCAAGTTCAGTAAAAGATCCTGTCTCAGAATGTAAAGTGGAGAGGAATTGAGGAAGCTCCTGACGTTAAACTCTGGCTTCCACACGAAGGAGCAAATATGCACATGTACATGTGTGTATGAGAAATAAGAAGAGAAAAAGGAACCACAGGTTGCATTCTGTGTGGACACATACAAACATGCAAGCATCTCCAACAAAACAGAAACAGAAACACAGACACACACACACACACACACACACACACGCACACACATGGTTTTTACTGAAAGTCATGCTTCACCGTGGCCCACTAGAAGGTTATCACAGATATCCTGTGTTACATGTTTGCAGTATCAGGAACAGACGCTGAAATTAAACCTATCTCTAATGTTACCATGAACTCTACAGCCTGGGCCTCCTTCTTTGAGACTGCCAGACAACCACCTACACAGAATGCTATGCTGTGCTGAGGTCACTGAGTGTGTCTGGGTAGTGGGCAGAGGGGAGTTCCACGTCCCGGCTGATTAGTGATGCCTAATTTGTTCTCGGTGCCCATCAGGCAGAGTGAAATGCCATCTACTTAAGCACAGCCTGTGACAGTTGGACACGGCCGAGTTGACATTTAACTTTGCCTAGGCGGTCTGCCTTCATGACAAGAGCAAATGAACAAGATAATCAAGATTGATCCAAGGGCGACTTGGAGAGAGATCGGTGCCAAGAACCCTTGAGGTCTTCAATGACCAATGCCTATTTCTAGAAGAAAGCAATAAGCGGATTATGACTTCATGTTTGTTGATCTCACGGGTCCCCCACAGAGCTCTGTAAGGCTTCATTTGGAAAGAAATAATAGATTTTGTTACTAGAAGCAATTAATTATAATCACACAATTATAATTACACCTGAATCCAGTGGTTCTTGTGAAAAATACATTGAAAATAAGGGCAAGGTCTTCTTTTTTTAATATTTATTATGTATACAATATTATGTCTGTGTGTATGCCTGAAGGCCAGAAGAGGGCACCAGACCCCATTACAGATGGTTGTGAGCTACCATGTGGTTTTCTGGGAATTAGGACCTTTGGAAGAGCAGGCAATGCTCTTAACTTCTGAGCCATCTCTCCAGCCCCGCAAGGTCTTCTTAAAGTAAAGGATAACCATGCTACAATCCACAGGCAGCAAGAAGTGCCCAAGGTGGGAGGAATGGATCTCCTGGGGAAGGGGAAACCTAGGAGATCTCCTGGCTAAGCTGGGGGCGGGTGAGCACAGGAACTTGAGGGATCGGGTTGGAGGGTGGGTGGAGGGGGAGAATACTGAGAGAGATGACTGGAAAGGGGGCTTTAGCAGGTTGGGTAGAAGCCCGATGCAAAGGAAACTCACACAAGTCTACAAGAATGGCCCCAGCTAAGACTCCTGGCAGCAGAGGGCGCATAGCCTGAACTGGCCATCTCCTGTGATTGGGATTGGTGCCGTCTCCAGCGGTCATCGGAGAGCCTTCATCAGTGACTAATGGGGACAAGAGAGACTTCAGGCCATTTTCTGGGAGTCCTGCTGAGGAGAGGGAGGAGGGACTGTAGGAGCCTGGGGAGGAATCGGGGACATCACAGGAAAACTCACAGAAACCGCTAGCCTGGCTCATGAGAACTCAGAGTCCGAACCAACAGCTAGGGAGCCTGCATGGGACTGACATGGGCCCTTTGCACATATGTGACAGTTGTGTAGCTTGGTCTCTCTGTGAGATCCCGGCAATGGGAGCAGGGGCTGTCCCTGGTGCTTTGGGAACCTATTCCTCATGGTGGATTGCCTTGCCCAGCCTGAAAACAGGGGAGGTGCTTAATATGCCATGCTTTGCTGATGCCAATGGGAGGCATGCCCCTTTCTGAGTGATTATGGAGGAGAGGTGGATTGAAGGGAGGCAGGGGCAGGTGAGAGGGAGGAGGGAGTGGGAGGTGAGGAGGGAGGGAGGCTGCGGTCCGGATGTCAAATAAAGAAAAGAGAAAACGTTAGTCATAATGGCAGTCGTGGTGAGAACGAATAACAACACAAGAAATTCGGCTTGAGCTGTGGGACCAAGGGAGTCTCTTCCACTCCCTTTACGTGGGTGGCTCTGCGCTTTGCACAAAGGCTACACAGAACGGCTCATTCTGCCGTACGCTTGTGGATAGGAGAGCTGCCCATGTGTGTTAGTCTTGTTTTCCTCTGGCCTCCTTATTTGATGCTGTATGGTGTTTGAGGACTGTTCCAGACTAGGGGAAGTGGTGCTCCTGTTGACATGGACGGAGGCTGCTTCTGACTGTGCTTACACATCCAGGGTTCCTAACGGACACACACATTCCTCATACGTGAGTACACGGTTCGCTTTAGGAAGGACGAAGGGGAGTATGGGACAGACACACTCCTTCCTCTACAGAGTCCAACTTCCTTTCTATTGTTGTGATAAAATACCCCGACAGGGGCTGGAGAGACACTTAAAGTTCCATCACCTGCAGCAGACACTTTCTCTCAGGCACAGGTTGGCGCCATTCCACACCTGCATTATACATTTATGATGTATAATGATAGAGGCCCACCTGGTGATATACGAGGTCCTTCTGTATATGTGCTGCTTTTAGTGGTTAATGAATAAAGCGGTTTTGGCCAGTGGCTTATCAGAGTAAAGCCAGGCAGGAAATCTGAACAGAGATGCTAGATAGATAGATAGATAGATAGATAGATAGAT